ATGGAGGACGCGCGGCGGCTGCAGGAGGCGGCGGGAGCCGCCGCCCGCTTCGGGCCCACCCGCTTCAGCGACCGCACGGGTGAGCCCGCATCTCGCGCCCAGGCTCCGCCCGTCCCCTGCCAACCTGCTCTAACCCTCCCCACTATGAGCCACGGCCCCCCGCGACCCCCGTCCTTGCCCCGCTTACATCTCTTCCCCAGAGGAGGAGTTCATGGGCGCGCCGCTGACCCCCCTGGGCAGGAAACCCCTCACCTCATCCCTGCGGAGCCCCCCTGGGAAGCCAGCGCCCCCCAGCTGTGATTGGAGGAAGGCCGGAGCTGTGACCTGCCCAAGTGATCAGGTAAGGCGGAGGTGGGACCCAGGTGAGCTCCTGTCTCCCCACCCGCACCCCCTGCTCTCCAGCCCAGCTTCCTGCCCTCCCCAACCCCGAATCTCTCCCCACCAGTCTCCCATCCACATCTCAGCTGGGTCCGTGCCTGCTTAGCCCCCTCCCCGGCTCCCAACCCCCTTGATCTGTCCCCTCCATTTACACTCGCAGCGCACGTGTGGCTCCTGCTGGGCCTTTGCTGCTGTTGCCAACGTGGAGTCGCTCTGGTTCATCCACTTCAAGAAGCTCTACAAGCTCTCGGTCCAAGGTGGGAGCGGGCAGGAAGATGGGTTGGAAGTGAGGAGCACCAGCAGGGCTGGGGGGCAGGGGCTTACGGGTCGGGAGTGAGGGGCACTGTTGGGGTTTGGTGGGGCGCAGGCGGCTGGGGGACCGGCGTGAGGAGCACTGTTGGGCTGGGGGGATGTCAGGCGGGAGTGAAGGGCACCAGCTAGGTGTGGGCTGTCCTCATGCCTTCCCCTTGCCTTGCAGAGGTGCTGGACTGCAGCGGCTTCAAGGATGCATGTGAAGGCGGCTACCCCTGGAACGCCTTTGGCACCATCTATAGGCTTGGTATGTAGGGGCTGTTGCACAGAGCCCCCAGCTGGGATAGACTCGCCCCCCACCGCCCGGGATTGGGGCACCAGTGATAGACATCTCTGCCAGGTGTGAGCACTGCCATGAGTTACCCATACGAGGCCCAGCAGGGCACGTGCCGGTCGAACCAGGACAACGTTGTCGTGCGCATCCAAGGCTTCCAGACGCTGCCGTCCAACGAGAGCCGTGAGAGCGGCTCGGGCAACGGGGCGGGGGTCCATTGGGGCGGGGGTGAAAGTGACCCAGCCCGCGTCGGTTTCACGCGTGTGGGTGTGCAGGTGTGTTTTCTAGACACCTGACTTCTTTGTGTGTGGGTGGGTGAATGTGCCAGACGCCTGGGGTCCTTGTGTGCAGGTGTGTGTCTGCATGTGTGTGGGTGTCGCATTTGTGTCCTGGACTCCTGCATTCACGTGCCTGCACGTGTCCCAGATGCCCTAGCTCGGTGTGTGGCTGCCGCTGTAACTGCGTGTGCATCCGTGCACTGAATATGCGCGGGCTGTGATCTGGGCAGCCAGGGCATGGGGAGAAGTCTAGCTCTGGGGGGCTTTCTCCCCCTAGACCTAACCCCCTCTGCCCCTCCAGAGCTAGCTGCCCACGTCGCCACACGGGGTCCCATCACTGTGATCATGAACAGCCGGCTCCTGCAGGTAGCATCCCTGTCCACCCCCTCCCCCCTTATTGCCCCCGATGATCCCACTGACCTATACCCCCCACCCACCCAGCACTACCGAGGGGGGATCATCACCAAGCACTTGGCGTCTAGCTGCCACCCCGACCTCCTGAATCACGTGGTGCTGATCGTGGGCTATGGTCAGGGTGAGTGGGGGGCTCTGGGGGAGGAATGGGTGAAAGGGGTGGGGGAGGGACCTGGGGTCCCCCCGGGGCCAGGGTCTGGGCCATGGTGTCACTGCTGATCCTCATGTTCCCTGCTCCCGCCCCCATTCCCTGCAGAGAAGAGGATCCCGTACTGGATTGTCAAGAACTCGCATGGCTCCGACTGTGGGGAAGAGGTGAGCTGGGAGGGACACAAAACCCCAGTGGCTGGGGTGCAAACGCGCACACACACACGTGCAAAACAAAGGTGTCCAGGAGACGCACACAAAACCCAGGTGTCCGGGACTCACCCCTGCACACAATCCAGGCATCTGGGACCCATAAACACAACCCCAGTGACCGGGACACACCCCCTCATGGCATCTGCCATAAACCCGTGCACACAGAAATGGAACACAGGCATCGAGTGTGCGCACACTAGCCCAGGGGCTGAGATGAAGCTGGCTCTGGGGTGCAACGCATGCCTGGATGCATAGGAGAACTTTGCCCAGCTACGGCCGGGGAGGGAGTCAGGGCCAGGGGTCCTTGCTGGACTCTGGGTGGAGCCAGGTCTGGAAGTGCATCTGACAGGGGGTCCTGGCTGCCTGGGGCAGAGGGAGAAGGAGTTGGGGTGGGGGGGGCATTACCAGGGGTTGCAGCAAGGATAAGAGCTGGCTCTTGGCGGGGGTGGGGGGAGGCATTGGGGTGAGGGGCTTCAGGGAGAGGTTGTGGCCAGCCCTGAGAGGGTCGGGGACCGTAGGAGGGCAGATGGAAGATGCTGCTGGCTGTAGGGGGTCATGGTGGATGTGGCTGGCTTGGGGAGGGTGGGGGGTCAGGGCTGTCATGGGCTACGGCCCCCTGCCGAGCCACTCGCCCTGCTTCCCCCTGCCCAGGGCTACTTCCGAATCTACCGTGGAGGCAATGCATGTGGCATCGCGGAGATCCCCGTCACAGCCACCGTGGGGCAGGATGGGGATGGGAGCACAGCCCATCCAGATCACTGCCCGGCCTGACCCTGACCAAGGGGCAGGAGGATGGAGGGACATAATAAAGCAGGAAGGCACAGAAAAGTGTGACAGAGTATGATGGAGCCGTGGAGTTGGTGGGGAGGGGAACACGCGGGGAACCTTAGTGTTCGGGACACACACACACACAGACACACACAGAGCACCCAGGCAGCTGGGATGCCTCTCCCTCACATAGAGCCCCGGTGTCCGGCACATACACCCCACCTCCCCCCAGTGATTTACCTGCTCTATTTATGGCTCTCTCTGTGGTGCCTCTGCCAGTGGATGTGGGGAGCTGGGGTACATCGTGGGGTGACCCCTGGCTTCCACCATCAACCCCCAACACTCCCTGGACCAGCCCCACCAGAGCCCTGGAAGCTGCCAACCACTGGTGCCAGGTCCCCCTTCCCTGTGCCCGTGCTGCACATCTGTGCCAGTCTGACATGCCTTGGGGAGGTTGGGCCATGCTGGGGGGTCTCAGACCAGCTCCTTGCTCACGGGCATGTTGATGTGGGCAGGCAGCAGTGGGGTGCAGAGCACCTCCTGTAGCACGAGCACCTGGGGGAGAAGGGGGCAGGGTTACCAACAGGCCAGGAAAGGCCAGACAGTCAGTACAAAAATCAGCTGAAAATGCCCATCAGTAAAAAATCCCCAATCGTGCTCTGGCTGTTGGTGAAACTCCTCCTTGGAGACCTGTGGGGCACCGGAGAGGCTGGACAGAAGCACAGACAGAGCATGGCAGTACTCCCTCATGGCTGAGGGGAGGGAAGTGCAGCCCACTGCTGGTAGACATTTCTTTTATGGCGCAAGACAGATCGGATCCTATCCCAATAGTGATCCTGCCCCAACCCCATCCCGCCCTTCCACAACCCCAACCCTGCACCAGCAAGCCTGAGGGGCAGATGACTCCAGCGACCCCTGACCCCCCCCCGGAGCCAGAGTCCCAGGAGCCAGGTGATTATCAGCTGATGGGCAGCTGATTCTGAGGACCACCACTCCCATCCCCCGCCAGGGCAGTAGGTGCCCCAGAGCTGGCCAATGCTCAGGTGGCCCGGGGTGGGGGGAGTGCGGTGCCCTGTGGGAACCCTTCCCCCAGGCTGCTGGCAGACCTTCCTTTTATAGCATGATTAGATCCAATTTGATCCCAGTTGTGATCCAGCCCTAATCATGATCCCAAACCCGCAGGCCACCACTACACTGGGAAGGTGAAAGCTGGGTGCCTGATGGTCAGCTGACTCTGGGGACCCCCTCCACCCTGCTGGGCCAAGAGGGTCCGTGGAGCCAGGCAATGATCAGCTGATCAGGGCTGCAGCCAGATTAGGACTGCACCAGGGTGGATTGGGTTGGGTTGGGTTGGAGACCCCAGTGGGTCCACCCTGCCCCATGTTCAATTCAGGCTGCCGAGAACCAGCCGCAAAATGATGGAGACCGGAACTGGCCACAAAATGATGACACATATTTTGCAGAATCATTTTGTAGGTTTGTTTCCTGTTTCATTGTGCTATGATCTGCTGGAACATGTGGCTGGCCCCCCAGTCAAGATGTGATTAATTTGTGAAACACCTCATGTTAAAAGCAATGTCTGCCAGAGGCCTCAGGGCTTTGTAGATGCCCTACCCCCCACCCATGTGCTGCTGCTGCATCCCAACAGCTACCTGTAATACTACTAGGTCATGTGTGAGCTTCTTGCTAGGACAGTGGGAGTGGGGCTCAGGCCTTGGGGGAGCCCATCAGGGAAGAAAAAGGGGCTGGCTGGGGTGGTTGGGGCTGGCCAGGGGCTGGAGGTGGGGGGTGGAGACAGCCAGGGGATGATGGGGGAGGTTGAGGATTGACAGGGCAGGGGTGTTGAGACAGGCTGGGGGCTGACAGGAATGTGGATTGGGGCTACAAAGGGACTGAAGCATGGTGTTGGTGGTTGTGGTGGGGGGCAGACCGGGACAGACTGAGGGCTACGCAGAGGTTCCCAACATCACACACCTCACCATAGGGGCTGGCACACCACACAGCTACATAACACTAGTACACAACTCACCATTACTACATGGCCTGACACAGTGCAGCTCTCACAACATGGCCTGTACACTGCACAGCTACACAACTACATACAGCTACACACCACTGTACAACTCACCACGACCACATGACCCAGGACACATAACAGCTATGCTACTACACAATAGTGCACAACTGAGCAGAATCCCATGGCCAAGCTACACAACTACACAATGACAGGCAACTGTCCAACCACACAGCCCTGCCAGACAACATGAAGTCCTCCAGACACAGGTACCTGGTGACACACAACCAAACCATGCTAGACAACTCATCACGACTGCACGGCCTGGCTACACAACTTATATCTACACAACTTGTCACAACCAGGGACGCCTGCCCAGCCCAGGTGCTGGATCGGGGAAGGCAGACCCACGCGGCCGCACCACACTAGAGGGCCAACAACCCCGGGTGCACAAGCCTACAGCCCGCTACACAACCGCGCACCCCGCGAGCTAGTGGTGGGGGGAGGGGGGATGGACACACCCCGCCTGGCCATACAACTACACAACACACCCCACCACACCACACAGCCCAGACCGGGCCTGTCACCTGCACCTGCTGGGAGAGAGGAAGATGGCAGAGCAACACACAACTACACACTGCCCTGCTGGTGCCCGGGAGTGAAGGGCACCGGCAGGGCTGGGGGTGGAAGTGAGGGGCACCAGGGGCTGGGGCCGGGAGTGAGGGCCCCCCACCCCTCATCGTAGCCTCCCCGGATCTCGCACCGCCGCTCGCAGCCCTGCGCCTTCCTGGGGGCCAAAGCCGCACTTTCTCAACCCTGACGAGGTGAGAAACACAACGCCAGTAAAAACAGATGTCAGGTAAAACGCGTCAGTAAAAAACAACCATGTTGAGTTGGGAGCCCTGGTTTCCCTGTACCCAGCTCCGGGCTGCGGGCTGGGTAGAAGAGGCACTCTCTGACTCTACAGTAGGGCATTAGGGGCTGGGATTATGCCCCCACGCGCCCCGAATCCACTTGATGACGTCAGAGATGCACTTATCACTGAGACACTCCGTAAAGGTGGGTCTGGGTGGGATAGTTCAGCCCACGGACCAGCATGGGGGTCTGCTGGCAAGAGACAGACACGTGAGAGGGGTTGGGAAGCCTTCCCCGAGCTGGGCTGCAGCTGGCTCTGGGGGGTGCCAGGCGCTGGGTGTGACAGGCTGCGGCCCGCCCCGTGCGGGCAGGGACACGCACCCGCACCCGCACCCGCACCCGCACCCGGGCGCTGGCCAGGGCGCACAGCGCTCCTCAGACTGGGCGCCGCGCAGCAGCCC